AAACTTATTTTTTGTGTTTACATTCCTTTCCATAAACCATAATATATATTTACATTGTCTAATCTGCGAAGCATTATGTATAAATGTGCAGTTTTTTTGTTTTGTAGAAAGTTATAGTATTTAATACTCATTTTTCCTATTATTCTTGTAAGATGGATTTTATTGTAGTGGCATTTTGTACCAAGAAAGCAACATGATATTTTGAGATCATATATATCCCATGCCAGCATTAATATCTCTTTCCTCAGGCATGTTTTTTCTTCAGCAGGAATTTTATTCGTGTGTGTGTGTGTGTGTGTGTGTGTGTGTGTGTGTGTGTGTGTGTGTTATGCAGAATGGCTGAAAGAGTATAGGAGAACAAGTCCCCCTGTACTAAGGAAACTTACAAGCTATATAGTAATTTAGAGAAATTGTGACAAAGGCTTTGTGGTGGAATCACACTTTTAAATGCAGTTACAATAAGGCACAGGAAATAGTAAGCTATGCATACTAGAAAATTCTGATCTACATTGATTCATATTTTACTTTTTGAAGCTGAATAGGAAAAACATCTTTCTGTCCATTTCAATTAATAAAATATAGACACAGTTGCCATAAACTGAATGCCACAGATACATTTAAGTGACACAGATTTTGTTTTAACATGAGGCTGTTTTAACATTGGTAATTCACAACATAGAACTTAATTTACCCTTTGAAGAGGTTAACGGTTTAAAAATAATTGCTTTGTTTACACTGATATTCCCATTTAATAAAATCAAATATAATTGATAATACTGCTTGCCAGTTGTGCATTTAAACATTTTCCCTACTGTAACCTTAAAAATTACCACTTGATAACAACTTCCAAAGGTCTCTAAAGCTGCAGCAAAAGTGTTTGGAGCCCAAGCCCTGGTTGTACATCACTTTTCTAATTAAATCTACATTCTGGTTATGCCACTTCACCTCACATCTGGGGACTCATATGATTAAGATGAGCAGAGCAAAGTAAAGTAAAGAGAATTGTCATTTTCTTATCATCCCATCTTTTCAGAATGTGGAAACAGTTCATCATGTAAGTCCTGACCTGTTTGCAGTCTAAAGCAGTATAATCCAGATGTAAACTCCACTGATTAAACTTTAGCTGTGTAGACTAAAACCTGTCATTTTTTGAAGCATCTCTTAAAGCCAGAACTTGAGAAACTGAGAGCTGGTATTAGAAATGACCCTTCTGCATCGGTTTTTCCTCATCCTCTTTAAATCTCTTCTGCATATCATGACATCATTGCTTTATGCTTCTGTCTACCCATCAGCGACAGTCAATTATATAGTGGAAGACCCCCAATTTAATGAAGTCATAACAAGTGGGAGAACTTAACTCAGGACTACTAGTTTTGGTGGTAGCCTAGTGGCCTATGTAAAGTGAAGTTCTGCCCTCCATTTGTAAAGCTGAAAACCTGATTATCTTGGTCTGATTGATCTAGTCTCAGCCAAGCATACTGATTGCTTTTATTAGCTCTGCATCCTTTCCTGCTGCCATGTCTACTTTAGAGTTTTACACACTGCTAGCCCTCCGGTTAAATTGCTCTGTCACATTTCAGTACAGCCTGTGTATCTTCAGCACTGTTCCATTATCTCTTAGCAAAATTCATTTTCCAGCTGTGATACAATCAGGAACCAAGTGCTGTGTGTTCTTTTGCACCTTAAGGAACACATATACATTGCTCACATGATAAGAAAAATCTTAGACCATGATGAAATGTAGACATTTTGAAAAAATTTTCTTTTGGGTACAGCAAAAGAAATCACTTGATATTTCTGAGAATGTAAAAATGGACAATCAAATTTTAGAAGCTCTTTTTCTTTACATTTTCCCAGCACAAACCAACATATCTAGTATATATGCAACACTGAATGTTATGAAATTTCTCAACTCCACTTTCTTCTAACAACTATTGCTAAATTCTGATTTGCCATTAGAAATGTAAACTATAATTAATTTAATTTCAAGTTTAGTTTCTGGCTCAATTCTCCTGAACCACCATAAAAATACTACTGCTACATGATGTCTGGGCAGTAGAAGCACCCACTTCCACTGCCATCCATTCCCCTTTTGGCCAATAGCGTTCCTATCACCTTTTTCCTTGGGATATTTCACCTTTATTTTGCTCTGTATGGGAATGAGTCGGACATTGGTTTGATCTCTCTTTTTTTTACTATTAAAAAGTTAGAAATATATCTTGAATGAAACCAGAAATTACCTGTATTTATATTCTTTTGAATATAATTATTTTGTATGTGAAATATGACAGATAGATAATTTTACTGTTTTATTTTTATTTATTTTATTAGGTTTGAGTTCTAGTCATGTCTGAGAAGCTTCAAAGCCTCCAGAATGCTAATACGTTTAAAAGCTAAACAAGAATATAGCAATGTTACTTCCCAATTGTCAAACACCATCTGAGAAAAGCAAAGCCAACCAATTCCTTACGCAAAACGTTTTCAATGCCTATGTTTAAAGTGCTAAAATAGGATTGTGCTCTCTCTCTCTCTCTCTCTCTCTCTCTCTCTCTCTCTCTCTCTCTCTCTCTCTCCCCCCCCCCCCAGCTTCTTATATCTAATAAGAAGAGAGCAAACAGGTACAATATACTTCACTGGGAATACTTGACTGGACTGAACTAACCAGTAGAGAGTGATGGGATTTCTCTCATTTAATTACAAGAACTTCTCAAAATACACATTTTTTAAAAAGTAAACAGAGGATTCAAAATAGTGAAGAAATAACTATTCTAAGACTAGTTAAAAGGTTTTTTTTAAAAAAAACTCATAGGAAGAGCTTTACTATTTACAGGTCACAATCTTCTCCATAAGAGACAATGATAGATGACAGATAATTTCAAAGCTTTAAATAAATTAGTACATCAAATTTTACACAAATCCAAATCTTCCAACTCTTTGGGGTGGGGGCAATGTGTAAACCATACTGTAAATCTAGATAAGGGATCGGATTAGAAAACCTTCTTCCCTTCCCAATGCAAACCAAGGCAAAGCTCTCCATTTAGCCCTGTGAGATTGGAAAACATTGTCAAATCAGCATGGCACAAGCAGAATTCCTTTGCACTGTTTTTAGTAACATCTAATTGCTTATGCAGCCTGAAGTAGTCAGACCAAGAAAAAACATTTATATCTTATTTGCCAGAGCAGATCACAGGAAGTGCTTCTATGGCTCTTCCAGTGGAGGTTGGCAAAATGAAGAGGCTTATTGATAAGCAAATACTTTCTCACTCAAACTCAATACTCCAGATCAATTTCCCCAACATTTCAGGAGTCTTTGGGAAACCATTGATATATGGTCTTATTGTGTTGTCAACCCTGTCCTGTACACTGTCCTCTCACACAGCTTCTCAACACACTTAGCTAGATTTGGCAGCTTTGTGCCTCTATTCCAAACTATTTGCCAGTGGCTTTTGCACTCCTTGATATATTTCCCTGGTAGCAGTAGAGTATGTGACTGTTGCAGAAATGAATTGCATCAACACTGCAACTGATGTACAGCTAACCCTGTATCAAAGACTTCAGGCAGCTGTACAACCTATTTTAACAAGCTGTTTTGCTTGTTAATTGCCTCAAGCTGGAAGAGGAAGCAAGCCATTATATACATTAAGCTTAAGGAATGGCATTAAAATAGGCCCAATGCAGCGGGAAAGGCCTGTGATTGAATAAGTACTGTAATCCTTGCACTGACTAGTGTAAGTTATGCCATAGTAGTTGTTGAGTCCTTGGCGGGAAGCAGACACGAGAAGCAGTTGAAGTTCTCAGTTTCCTTTATTCAGCGTTCAGCTTACAAGTAGATGGCTTCAGCAGCTCCCCAAACCTCCCAGCTTCTTATATAGACGCTTCCTGGGTAAATGTGTTACTTTTCCCGCGCCAGCACCCACGCATGCGCACGGCACTGGCGACAGCCTGTCTGGTCCCGGGCAGCTTTGCACCTGCCCAGGACTGCCTGCAAACGCCCGAGCCGTTTGCAAGGCTCGGGACATAACACCCCTTTCCCCCGGGCTAAAACTACTACCAACATATAAACATTTATTTTATGCAGTGTTCTGCTTCTCAGTGCTCCTATCGTTAACTGGCTTTTGTTTAGCCAGCAATGTTATGTAATCCTCTAAGTATTTAGGAGACTTCTTTGCTCTCTGTGACCTTCTCAGCTCTGGGTTACTAGCATGAGTTCCCTGACTGGAGGGAGATGTGAGACTGTTCTCCTTATTTTGCCTTGGTGCCTTCCAAGGACTGTGCCCCGATGCCTGGCCTGCTTGCTTGCCCACCGGGCTCGTCAGGCCAGGGCTTCTGTCACTTTGTGACCTGGTTGACCGGCCTAGCTGTAGACCCTCGGGCCCCTTGAAGTGATAGCCACTGCTGGGCGTCTCTGTTGAACCTCCTAGGTCCGTCCAAGACATGTCAGGAGGCTGACCATTCCCTGAACCCCGTTCTGTTTCCGGGCTTGTGTGGGTTTCTGTACTTTCCCAAAACTCAGTTACTCCCTGATTTGGGCTAGAGGTGTTGTAGTCGGGACTTGGTTCCTTGACCACCTCCCTGTATGTTTGACCCCCTGTAGAATTTGGGGTAAGGTCAGGCCAACCTTGGGGATTGTGTGCCAGCTCTCTTGCGAGGAATGATTTCTTGGGATGCCCCCGGGTATCCTCCGTGACTGGAGTGCTGTGTGATGTGTGTGGAAGGTGAGTATGCCCCCGGGGTGACTCCCTGGCTGGAGTAGGCGTGAGTGCCTGTTGTGTGTGTAAGCTCCATGAATTCCTTTTCGGAGCAATTGCGGAACCCTGGGATGGGCCGTTTGTGGCTCCATCAATGGAGATGGGCAGCAGCTCGTGCCCTTCCCTTTGCTCCAAAGGGTCCCCCTCCCCCCCTGGAAAAGACCCAGGAGTCTCATCTGAAAAGTCCCGCCTAGGGCGGAGTTGGTCGATGTGCCGACGCAGGACACGACGGTTGTCCAGGGCAACCTCGTAGGAGAGAGGACCTGTGACCCTGGAAATAGAAGCGGGGACCCAGGTATGACCAGACCCGTAATTGCGAGCCCAAACCGGGGCACCCACAAGTAGTTGTCTAGGTGCCCTAGGATGTGAGGTAGATGAAGGCAGTCTGTCCGGATGCAACCGGTCAAGTTTAGTAGTAAGTTGACGCCCCCAGCAAAGTTCAGCTGGGCTTCTCCCTGTAGAAGTGGATGGTGTGGTGCGATAAGAAAGGAGAAAGTCAGCCAACCTGTGATGCCAGTCCCCGTAGGTGAGTCTTTTCAAGGCGTCCTTTGTGATGCGCACCATACGTTCAGCCATACCATTGGTAGACGGGTGGAAGGGTGCAGACGTGGCATGACGAATCATGTTAGCCTGTAAGAAAGCTTGGAATTCGGAGAAAGTGAATTGAGGGCCGTTGTCAGACACGATGACATCTGGAAGCCCGTGTGCAGCAAAAATCCCCCTCAGTACCTGAATAGTCTTTGCAGTGGTGGTGGATGAGACAGGTACAACCTCAAGCCATTTTGAATGGCTGTCAACAAGGACCAAGAAGAACTGGCCCTGAAAGGGCCCAGCATAGTCAATGTGCACCCTAGACCAGGGGGACTGTGTTTCCTCCCATCTATGCACAGGAGCTTGGGGCATCTCTGGGCGAGATCGTTGGCACAGGTGGCATGCATGCACCTGAGCCTCAATATCCTTATCTAAAACAGGCCACCACAAGAGGCTGCGTGCAAGAGCCTTCATACGAACAATGCCAGGATGACCCTCGTGGAGGGATTCTAAGACCCTAGTCCTCATTGAGGTGGGAATGACAACTCTGTGTCCCCAAAGCAGACAACCCTGAGAAAGGGACAACTCGTTTCTTTTGGACCAGAAACTCTGAAACTCAGGACTAGGGCAGTGCTCAGGCCAACCGGACAAAACCCAGGAACGGACACGTGAAAGTGTGTGATCGGTACCTGTTTCAGCGGCAACATCCCTGGCACAAAGAGGGAGCTCGGGCAAGGCTTGGATTGATAGAATGTTGACAGCTGGCGCAGGGTCAGCTTCTACTACTGGCAGAGGCAATCTACTGAGGCCATCAGCATGGCCCATTTCTTTCCCAGGCTTGTGGAGTAAAGAAAAATCATATGCAGACAGAAAAATAGACCACCTAAGAATTCTAGGGGAAATGATTTGGGGAGTCTGCTTACGTGTGGTAAACAGTCCCAGCAGAGGCTTATGGTCAGTAAAGACCGTGAAATGCCTGCCATAGAGAAAATCGTGGAATTTTTTAATTCCAGCGACAACATCCAGAGCCTCCCTGTCTATCTGAGCGTAGTTGCGCTCAGCAGAAGACAATGTTCTGGAGTAATATGCAACAGGAACCTGAGTTCCATCAGACCTGAGGTGGCTCAGGACAGCTCCTACCCCGTAAGGGGACGCATCACATGCGATGCACACAGGAAGAGATTCGTTGAAATGTGCAAGTACAATGTTAGAAGTGAGCAAGGCCTTGACTTTGTTAAAGCAAGCCTCATGTGTATGTGACCACTGCCACACTGCTTGTTTGTCTAGTAGCCTGTGAAGAGGCTCAGTTACACTAGCTTTATGTGGAAGAAAAGAATTGTAGAAATTTAGGAGGCCCAGGAAGGCCTGAAGTTCGGCCTTGGACTTTGGCCTAGGTGCTTCTAAAATAGCTGTCAGTTTGGATTCAGCAGGGTGAATCCCAGCAGCATCAATTTTGAACCCCAGAAATTCAGTAGAAGGCACCCCAATCTTGCATTTGTCTTTGTTGAGCTTGAGGCCTGATTTCCTGAATCTTAACAGAACAGCCCTTAGCCTTTCAGCTAGAATGTGTGTGGAGTCCCCTGCAATTAAGACATCATCAAAGTAGGGGCAAACCCCCGGTATGCCCCGCAGTGTGTTTTCCATTACGCTTTGGAAAATCCCAGGAGCGACATTCACTCCAAACTGCAGCCTTTTTACCTTAAAGGCTCCCCTGTGGGTCACAATAGTCTGAGCTATAGCAGCAGCATCATCAACAGGCAGCTGTTGATATGCTTGAGCTAGGTCAAGCTTTGCAAAAACGCGCCCCCCCCTTGAGGGAGGCCAGAATATGACTGACCACAGGAACAGGATAGGCATGTTGCTGCAATGCCTTATTCAGAGTGCATTTGTAGTCAGCACAAATGCGAATGTCCCCCTTTGCCTTTAGAGGCGTGACAATGGGGGTCTCCCAAGGACTGGAATCAACAGGTTCTAGGATTCCCTGTTGAATCAGTTTGTCTAACTCAGTGTCAATTTTACTCTTTAAAGTAAAAGGGACCCTTCTTGCTTTAATTCTAATGGGAGTGACAGTGGGGTCTAGCTTTAAGGACACAGGGGGTCCTTTGAATGTGCCCAGCTGGGGGCTGAAAACATCTGCCAATTCTTTGCAGACTTCCTGTAGGTCGAGTGTTTGTAAACTGTTGAGTCCTGTGACGTGTATCCCCAGGGCCTCAAACCAATCGAGTCCTATGAGACTCGTTTGTTCACCCCCTACTACTAATAAGTCTAGTGGACCTTCAAAACTCTTGTATTGCACGTTAAGGGTGGCCTCCCCCTTAACACACACTCTTGAATTTTGAAAATCTGTTAACACAATGTCAGAGGGCCTTAACTTGGCCTGAGTTCCACTACCGGAACAAATCTTCCTAAATGTATGCAAGGAGATAATTGAAAAGGCAGACCCTGTGTCTAGTTCCATAGATAATGGACCCCCTTGTAGCTTCACCTTGAGTGACAGCTTTTTCTTAATTGGCTTGTGTGTGCCTGTCCTAAGGATGCTTCTTCGCGAAGCGCAAAACCCTACCCTATTCTGGCTGGGGAATCTGGGACCTTTCAGGCGCGGTTCTTCCTGAGGTTGTACCTTTCGTCGGCCCAGACACACAGCTGCAATGTGTCCTTGTTTGCCGCATGCCCGGCAGGTAGCGGAGCGGAACTTGCAGTCGGTTCTCCTGTGGCGACCTCCACAGCTGATGCACTTGAGCGGAGCTGAAGAGCTTCCCTTCTGTTTTTCTTCCGTCGTGGGGTGGAGACGGTCGACTTCCTCGTCCGGATCCTCCTCGGAGTTCCTGTGGGCGTCTTCCTGGTGCACGGATGCAACCTCTGGACTGTTTCTGATCGGCCGCATGTTCTTGATAGCGCCGCCTGCTGCTTCTTCTGCGGTGACTTCCCTTAAGGCATCTTGGTAGGACAGTTCTTCTTTAGCGAAAAGTCTCTGTTGTAGATCTTGATGCCTTAACCCGCACACGAATCGGTCCCTCAGTCGTTCTTCGAGGTCTTTGAACTCGCAGTGCTTGGCGGCCTTCCGTAATGCGGCGATGAATTCATTGGCTGACTCGCCGGGCCGTTGATCCCTCTGCTCGAAGGTGTGGCGCCATGCGATGACGGACATCTTGGGGTGGAAGTGCTCTTTCAGTAGCTTCTTCAGATCTGCGTAGCTGACAGACTCTACTGGAACAGGTGCTGCAAGGTTTTCTGCGATGTCGAAGGTGTCCTGACCGCAAACACAAAGCAGGGTGGCAACCTTCAAGCTCTCTTCCCTCACTTGGTTTGCCTTGAAGTAGTTCTCCACCCTGGCTACGTATGACTCCCACCGCTCTGGATGTGAGACGTCGAATTCCGAAAGCCTTCTTATTTTTGCCATCTTTAGATCTTCAGGAGACGGGTCTATCAGCCAGCCTACCCCCGACTGCGCACTGGATTGGCGGGCAGCTGCCGAGTCGACGCCGTTCCTTTCCGCCGCTCAGGACTCCTTGGGTAAGCTTACACTTCTTCCTTTCCAGGTAGTGCAAGGCATCCAATCCTCGTCGCCAGTGTTGAGTCCTTGGCGGGAAGCAGACACGAGAAGCAGTTGAAGTTCTCAGTTTCCTTTATTCAGCGTTCAGCTTACAAGTAGATGGCTTCAGCAGCTCCCAAAACCTCCCAGCTTCTTATATAGACGCTTCCCGGGTAAATGTGTTCCTTTTCCCGCGCCAGCACCCGCGCATGCGCACGGCGCTGGCGACAGCCTGTCTGGTCCCGGGCAGCTTTGCACCTGCCCGGGACTGCCTGCAAACGCCCGAGCCGTTTGCAAGGCTCGGGACATAACAGTAGTAATCATCATGTCAGAGATCTGTGATGAAAATGCTTATGTCTTAGGCAAGGGAGCCATTTCATTTTCCATGCCAACTTAATACAGATGTTGTCATTTTAGTTGCAGGAAATAAAAGTTACACCAGAGGGGAAAAAAGATATATGTATATTACTTGAGAGCAGTAAAACTCCGCTCTAGACGTTATAGAGAATTGCTCTTTGATGTTATAAGTAAAACACATTTGACATATGATGAAAAAAGGCTACAGGGAATACCCAGCACTCATTCTTTGTTCTCTGTGTTTGCTTTTAGGAAAGAGAAAGTTCCAAATCTTCCAGAATGTGTTCCACACTTTGACATTCTGAGTTGCATTCGCTATTTTGGTTAAGATGCTAAGCAAAATAAATAGAGGTCAGAAGGCCAGTTCTTAATAAATAAGTCTACAGTTATAATCTTGGAAACTGTCCTATCTGTAAACAAATCACTAGTCTACAAGGATAGATTATTTATCTAGGGTCTGTAATCTCTGCTCTTCAGGCAGAAATTAGGTGTCCAGTTCAGCCCTTCTACTCCATTGAGCCTCTGTGCTATCAGCTCCCTCTACCACAAAGATCCTGCAGGAGAAGGGCAGTGTGGACAACCATGGGATCTGGCAGGATGAGAGCTGTGAACCACAAACACAAAGCTTTTGCTGTGTCCCTGCATAACAGAGACAGTGCCCTTGCTGACCTTAATAGGGACATTAAGGAAACAGGTAAAGGTATTTGTGACGATAACTCAAATAAGCAGGGGATCTTTGTCCAAGATGAAGAACTTGTTTTTGACAGGGAGAAGTACAAATCATGTATTACACATCAGTCATGCAAGAACAGAAAGGCACCCCAAAAGAGAAGCCACCTTCTGGTTGGTGATTCAATTATAAGGGATGTAAATTTAGGAAAGGACACAGAGGTTTTGAAAGAGGTCAGGTGTTTTCCAGGTGCTACTGCCAGTAGGGACAAGAAGCGTATTTGTAAAATAATCAAGAATGCCAGCAAGGACTGTGATGTGGAGGCTATTGTACATCTTGGCACTAACAATCTGTCTCAAAAAAATGTACTCTCTGTGCAGAATGATTTCCAGAGCCTGGGGCAGGAACTTAGCAGAATAGGCTATAGATTTATTTTTTCAGAGGTCTTACCAGTGTATAAGGACCAAAAATGGAAAAGGCACAATTCAATATATGGCTAAAGGAGTGGAGTAAAGGGGAAGGCTTTGGATATATTAGTCATGATGTCAGCAGCTGGTCCAATGAAAAAATGTACAAAAGAGACGGTTTGCATCCATCAAAGAAAGGGATTGAGTTACTCGGCTATAAATTCACAGATTTTCTGGAGGAATATTTAAGCTAAACAGCAGGGACAGTGAGCTAATTGATACAGAACATCCCTGTCCCAGGCAATCTAAAAACTATAGGGCTATCAGTGCATATAACATAGATGTATGTGTGGACAAGAACATCAACCTTGCTGTCAAGCAAAATCAAGCTCTTAATAGCGAGTGTCACACAGGTGCACTAACCAAATAGTTGGTAAGACAATAGGGGAACTCAGGCACTACACAGGTTATGTAGAAAGTAAACACAGGGTCAGTCATAAAGGACTCAAATGTCTATACACCAATGCACAGAGTATGAACAGCAAACAGGGTGAACTAGAAATTCAGGTTAATGAGGGAAGATATGATATTGTTGCCATTACAGAAACATGGTGGAATGAAATCCACAAATGGAACACACAGCTAGAGGGATTTAAATTATTTAAAAGAAACAGACCAAATAAAAGAGGAGATGGAGTTGCTCTCTATATAAGAAATAACTACATCTCTACAGAAATAGAGCACAACAATGATGAAAACTGTCTTGAATGCATTTGGGTCAATATAAAGGGGGGGGGGAAACGACATTGCCATAGGTGTATACTATAGGCCAACCAACCAAACACAGGAAATAGATGAATTGGGGACTTTAACTACCCTGACATCAACTGGGAGACAAACTCTGCACCAAGTGGAAGATCAAACAGATTCCTGACAAACCTAGCAGACATCTTTGTCTCCCAAAAAGTAGAGAAGGGAACTAGGGGATTAGCCATTTTGGATCTAATTCTCACTAACAGAGATGAAATGATAGAAGGTGTTGAAGCCATAGGAACCTTGGGAGAAAGTGATCATGCAATATTGGAATTCAACATTATGGAAGCACAAGCAATAGAACACAGTCAAATAGAGTCTTGGACTTCAAGAGAGCTAATTTCAATAAACTTAGAGAGGGCTTGGGAAGGATTCCATGGATGAGAATCCTCCAGGGGAAAACAACTCAAGTAGCTTGGGAAATTTTGAAAAGTGAGATAATAAAAGCCCAGTCTAGCACAATACCAACAAAGAGAAAAAATAACAGCTCTCAAAAGAAACCAGCATGGCTGCATAAAGAACTTTCTGATCAATTGAAAGATTAAAAAGGACCAGTATAGAAAGTGGGAAGAGGGACACATAACTAAGTCAGAATATCAGCAAATAGCCCGAGCCTGCAAAGATGAAGTGAGAAAAGCTAAGGCTCAAAATGAACTAAGGCTTGTGACCAAAGTCAAAAATAACAAAAAAAAGCTTCTTTCAACATGTAAAAAACAAGAAAAAAGTGAAGGAAATGATTGGTCCATTAGTGGGTGAAAGTGGCAAGAAGGTGACAAGCAACAGGGAGAAAGCAGAACTATTTAACTCATTTTTTGCATCTGTTTTTACACAAAAGGAAAAAACAGACCAATCTATCAAAAATAGTGCCATAAAAAACAGAATAGAAACACAAGTTAAGATAGGCAAGAAAATGGCAAGTGAACACCTGTCCAGCCTAGATGAGTTCAGATCACCAGGACCAGATGTATTACATCCCAAGGTTCTCAAGGAACTGGCAGATGTGATCTCAGAACCACTGAACTATATTTTTCAAAGATCCTGGAGCACTGGGGAACTACCAGAGGACTGGAAAAGAGTTGATGTAGTTCCTATCTTCAAAAAAGGAAAAAAAAATGGATCCAGGAAATTACAGACCTATCAGCCTGACCTTAATACCTGGGAAGATTCTGGAAAAGATAATCAAACAATGAATCAGCGAACACCTAGAGGCAAACAAAGTCATTACTAAAAGCCAACATGGGTTTGTCAAAAATAGATCATACCAGACAAATCTTATTGCATTCTTTGACCAAGTGACAAAATTAATGGACCAGAGGAATGCTGTGGATAAGGCATTTGACAAAGTAGATCACAACCTATTACTTGTTAAGATAGAAAAATGCAGGTTAGATAGCATCAGCACCAGATGCTGATGCTGGCCATACTCAGCGGGTGGTCCTCAATGGAACCAC